TTGCAGGCAGTCCCAGGCAGGTGCAAGCTGCCCGGGACCAGACAGGCTGTCGCCAGCGCCTGTGCGCATGCGCGGGTGCTGGCACGGGAAAAGTAACACATTGACCCGGGAACTGCCTATATAAGAGGCTGGGAGCTTTTGGGCGTTGCTGAAGCCTTCACCTGTAAGCTGAACACAGAATAAAAGAAAACCTGAGAACTACAACTGCTTCTCGCATCTGCTTTTCGCGAAGGACTCAACATGTGTTAAGGGGGAGGCCACCCTTAACGTACAGTATAAGGATTTTGAAGGTCCATTAGATGTACTGATAGTGGGGGGTGAGCGCACGAGTCTCATAGCACTCGATTGGTTTGAGGCCTTGGGAATACAAGTTACAGGGCTCAATAGTTTGCAAACAGTAGGTCTACAAGAAGTCTGCAAAGAATTTGCAGATGTCTTCAGCTCACAGCTGGGTACATACAAAGGGCCCCTAGTTTCCTTAAAATTGGACCCCACTGTCACTCCTATCAGAGTAAAAGCAAGGAGAGTACTTTTGCTTTAAAAGGGAAAATTGATGCTGAATTGGACAAATTGATTCAGCAAGGAGTCTTAGAACCTGTTGACTCCAGTCCATGGGAAACTCCCATAATCATGCCTCTTAAGGCTAATGGGGACATTCGCATCTGTGCAGATTACAAATGTACTCTAAATAAGGCATTGCAACAACATGCCTATCCTGTATCAGCCATATTCTGGCTTCCCTCAAAGGAGGGCGTGTTTTTGCAAAGCTTGACTTAGCAGAAGCTTACCAACTGTTGCCTGTTGATGAAGCTGCTGCTGTAGCACAAACCATTGTAACACACAGGGGGGCATTCAAAGTAAAAAGGCTACAGTTTGGAGTAAATGTGGCTCCTGGAATTTTCCAAAGCGTAATGGAAAATACATTAAGGGGTATACCAGGGGTTTGCCCCTATTTTGATGATGTCTTAATTGCTGGAGATTCCACTCAAAATTTAGCTGAGAGATTGAGGGCTGTCTTGCTGCGGTTCCGGAAAACGGGCCTCAAACTCAAAAAGGACAAATGTAAAATTGGGGTGCCTTCTACAGATTTTCTGGGGTTCAAAATTGATGCCAATGGGATTCATCCTGCTGAGTCCAAATTAAAAGCCATCATGCAAGCTCCTAGGCCTAAGTCCAAAGCTGAACTACAAGCTTTTCTGGGCCTCTTGAATTTCTATAATTCATTCATTCCTAACAAGGCTAATGTAGCTGAACCACTTCATAGGCTTCTGGACAAACAGGCAGTGTGGCAGTGGTCACAAGCACATGAAGCAAGCTTCAGTGAGGTTAAGGCCTTACTCACATCCAACAATGTGCTTGCACACTTTAATGAAACTCTTCCTGTGTGCATCGCTTGTGATGCTTCCCCTTATGGAGTGGAAGCAGTACTCAGCCACCTTAGACCGGATGGAACTCAGGTTCCTGTTGCATATTACTCCAGAATCTTGTCTTCTGCTGAACGAAACTACGCCCAGATAGACAGGGAGGCCTTAGCTGTTGTTGCTGGAATTAAAAAATTCCATGATTTTTTATATGGCAGACATTTCACGGTCTACATTGACCATAAGCCCTTGTTGGGGTTGTTTACCACAAACAAACAAACTCCCCATATCATCTCCCCCAGGATGCTGAGATGGTCAATATTTCTGTCAGCCTATGATTTTTCTTTAATTCACAAACCTGGCAAAGAAATGGGCCATGCTGATGGCCTCAGTAGATTACCCTTGCAAGTAGTAGAGGCTGATCCTGCCCCTGCCATCAACATCCTTTCTATTCAGGCACTGCCTGAGTCACCTTTAAATGTCAGGGATGTGGCTGCTGAATCAGTCACAGATCTTACACTCTCTCGTGTCTTATCCTGGGTTTTGTCTGGATGGCCAGAGAGTTGTCCGGGCACTGAGTTTCAGAGTTTCTGGCTTAAGAGACATGAATTATCCACCTTTCAGGGTTGTCTGCTGTGGGGCAGCAGAGTTGTCATTCCTACCACAATGAGGTCTTGAGTCTTAGGTTCCCTTCACGAGGGTCATCCTGGCATTGTACGAATGAAGGCGCTTGCGCGCAGCCATTTATGGTGGCCTGAGTTAGACAAGGAAATTGAGGCTAAGGTGCACCTTTGTCAGCGCTCACGCCCAGAAATGCCCCATGCTCCTGTACATAGATGGGAGGAAACGCAGTCACCATGGTCTAGAGTACACATTGATTAGGCTGGGCCCTTTCAGGGTCAATTCTTCTTGGTCCTGGTTGATAGCCATTCAAAATGGCTTGAGGTTGTACCTGTCTCTTCCACCACCACTGCAAAGACCATTCAAGTACTGAGGGGGATTTTTGCTGCACATGGGCTTCCGGATGTTTTGGTGTCTGACAATGGCCCTCAATTCACTTCTTCCGAATTCCAAGCTTTCTTACAGGCCAACATGATTCATCATGCCACCTCTGCGCCTTTCCACCCTTCCACCAATGGTATGGCTGAATGGATGGTCCGCATCACCAAGGATGCTTTAAAGAAACTGACCTACGGGGACTGGCACCACAGGTTGGCAGATTTTCTCCTTGCTTACCGCACCACACCTTCAACTTCTACTGGGAGAAGCCCGGCTGAACTTCGCTGGGGGCGCAAACTGACTACTAAACTTGACCGGTTACACCCGGACAGACTGCCTCCTAGGGGTACACAACCCAGGGCACCGAGACAATTGCTAGTGGGTGCCCCAGTATGGACCCGTAACTACAGGCCAGGTCACTTGTGGGTTCCTGCTCTAGTTTGCAAGGTTACAGGTCCTTTGTCCTACAAGGTTTCCTTGGATGACGGTCGTATCCTGCGACGGCATATCGACCAGCTGCGTACAAGACTGGACTTACCTTCAGAGACTCCTGGTTCTATTCCAGGGGGGGAGGAGGATCTCTATGGGCAAAGGGAGGGGTGTTGGCAGCAGCCAGGCACCAACAGAGAGGCCACAGATGGCCTATCACAAGATTCCGCGAGTGTTCCGAACAGGAATTCGTGGGAACCAGCTAGCACACGGGCACTAGTACCTACTCCAGCCAGGGAGTCTCCCCGGGGGCATAATCATTATTCACTAACACCATTCAGCACTCCAGTCAGGGAGAATAACTGGGAGCAACCTAATAACTCAAACCTTGCAAGAGAGCTGGCACACAATCAGTCTAGTTGGCCCAGCACTGCTACTGTTTCCAGAAGGAGGCATTCACATGGGGAGGTGGTCGGAGGGGCAAACCCAAATTCTGACATCTCCGGCGTAATTGAGGGGGTAACTGAGTTTTGGGATAGTACTGGAACCCCAGACAGTCCTACTATGGAACTGAGGAGTGGAGGAAGGCAGCCTCATGAGAGGTCCAGTATGGGCCAGGGAGGCTCAACAGAGTTGCCCACCAGTGGCAATCTTCTAGAAGGGCCAGAAAGCCTGCAACTAGGCAGGTCAACCAGGTTATGGAGAGAACAAAGCCCTGGTCTGACGAGCCCGGTGGGCAAGCAAGCAGACCAGGCAACAGGGCACGGGGACCACCAGGGTCTGAGAAAGGGGGCGAACTCATATCATCCCCTGGGCAAGATGTAATTGGAGATTATCAGGGCCTAAGAAGATCACAGAGAGCTAAGAGATCTCCTAAGTACCTTGAAGATTTTGTAACTCTGCCGGCAAAGCAGAAACAGTAAGAGGGTGTTTCTGTGGAAATCTGGGAAGAGGGGCACTGGGGAATTAATCTCCAGAACAATAGCCCGGCACCATTGAAGCAAGGGTTGGTACACCACGCTCGTGTTGAGGTCGCGTGTAACTATCAATGTAGTTGTAGTTTTAGCCGGGGGGGGGGAAGGGGTGTTGTGTCCTGAGCCTGCAAAGGCAGGCTCGGGACGTTGCAACGGTCCCGGGCAGTTGCAAGCTGCCCGGGACCAGACTGGCTGGCGCCGGTGCATGCGCGAGGCACACAGCGTGCCTAAATGTTGTCATTTGGCCCGGGGATTGTCTTTAAGAGAGTCAGAGAGGCTTGCGTGCCTCTGAGTTGTAACGGGGCTACAGAACAACAAATAAAGAGGCTCCTGAAACTACGAGATGCTTCATGAAGTTATTGCCATTAACCGAGGACTCAACAGCACCCATGCCAGATTAGAAGCACTTTTACCTGATTTGGATCCAAATTTTGCGTGCCTCTATCAATTACTACAGGCGGGCACCATCGATCTGGGGAACCAGACTGATATTGTTGCTGTTGCTACCCCAATCATCTGATACCAAGTACTCCCTGATTCTCAGCCAAATATATATGATGGGGATTCAAGTAAACATACTGTTTTGTTTTGTTTTTTTTTGCTCAGGATAAACTTTATATCTGCCTGTGCCCAGTTGACATTGTCACCAACAATGTCAAAATTAGCCTAACAGAGGACAGAGTTGGTTCAGAGCAGATTTGGACATCTGTTTGAATGCTCTGGCATTTGGGGGCAAATTATGACCTATAAGCAGAAATCACATCACAAGGTTGTCTTGAGGATGAAATGGTGGGTGGGAAAGGGCATAGAATGATGTACATCATCTTGGTCTCTTAGAGTTAGACGAAGATAACATTTATGATGGTGAGGAAGAAGGGTAAGCTAAGACAAACATGAATATAAAAGAATGATCACTTCACAAAATCACATTGATATCCCTTCTCCCTTTTCTCCCTTTTTTAGGAAAGAGGGAACTAGCACCTGGGCCTGTTGCTCAGCAACAATATAATGGTTGGAGCAAGCATGAACTGGCACTTCCCAGTCGCCTGCCTCCGCTAAGTGACAGTTAAAAGCCCACAGGCTCAGTCAGGTCAAGCAGCTGTAATCGTTTGAGAATCACAGTCTAAACCATGTTTTCAAAATGCTCCAAAATGCATGCTGCAGCTAACTCTCCGTGTCTTGTAAGCTTTTTGCAAAAACAACTCTTATGATCAGTGTAGTAACGAAAGGTGCTCACCTCCTGTTGCTATGGTGACCTGTCGCAAGTAATGGCCATAGAAAGGGAAATCAAAGGATAGGATGACTCTCTGGAGAAGAATAATGAGGAAAACAACATTAGAACCAAGAGTTGTTGTGGGTGAATTATTCCCATATTTCCTAATACTTTAAGATGAACAGATAGTGTCAGTTAGGCTTATACTCATAGGTCTTTATACTGGGTGACAGAGAGGAAGCCAAATTTGTACAAAGAAAAGAGGGTAGTTTGATTACTTATATATAAATATCTTGGCATAATTTTATATGTTCATTAGTCATAAATAAGATCAAGGTGGCAGTGTACAGAATCCTTAGCCTTCTGAAATGCTATAAGATTCTATACATTTTTTTTCCTGCCATGAGGCCTAGCATTTTCTTGAAGATGAAATAATCAGCAACATACATTTCTTAGCACATATATTTATAAAACCATAGAGTTGGAAGGAACCTCATAGGTTATACAGTAGAGCCAGCCTTTTTTTCCAGTTTAGAATAGTTGTTGCTACATTTTCCCCTTATAAAAAAAATATTGTGTATCTTTGAAATGTTGATGGGAAAAAATAGAGCAATATATAGCCTCCTCTCTTCAAAATGGCTGTATTGCAAACTTCTGATTGGAAAATAGATCCCCTACTGACCTTTGGGCTGAACATTAATCCCACAACTGATGATGTTATGTGCAAAATGCTGTACATTTGTAAAATGACATTTTTGCTGGCCAATAGCTTCAGCAATAGATGATGGAATGAACTAATAGTCATCTAAGAGAGATGAGAAAGAGAGAGAGGTGTGCTTCTTCTATCCTTTAATAAGGAATGAAAACACACACACACACACAGAGAGACATTGAGAGAGATGTGGAAAGAGAGAGGAATCATTTAAAACCCAGTGACAGTATCCAAAAGATCACGTGGCAACACTTAGCTGGCTTTGGTTAATCTTGAAAAACATAAGTAGAATTAATGAAGGAGAATATTTGTAGCTCAGGATTGAAATGAGGAGTCCTTGGTGCTCTCTGAGCTTGCTTGTTTCCTTACAAATGTTTCATTACCCTAACTAGGTAACATCATCAGTGCTAGTAAGGAGTGCTGTTTGCTGTCAGTTTATATTCTGGTGTCTTGCCTGTCTGGGTGGGTAGAGGGCAGTTAACTCAAAGGTCAACTTCAGATCAACAATCAAGTAAACAATACCTCAGTCAAGAAACTGCCAAAGAGCCATTAGTAAACAGCCCAACCAAAGATTCCTAAGACCATCCCCAATCACCCAGACAGGCAAGATACCAGATCCAGCACTCCTTACTAGCACTGATGATGTTAGGGTAATGCAACATTTGCAAGAAAACAAGCAAGTTCAGAGAGCACCAAGAATCCCTCATAAGTAGAACTGGACCCATAGAAAATTAATTAGGGAAACCACTCCTAAATAAATAAATAAATAAATAAATAAATAAATAAATCTTGGAAGAGGGCAATGGTCTTTATTTCATTCATTATATGGCTTAGCATCTCAAACATATGACTCTGGGTGGCTTCCAGAGAGGGAAAAAACAAAAGAAAAAATATAAAATTCAGTGAATAATGAAGAGGGAAGCTGAGATAAAACCAACTGATACCATCAACACAACCAAGGTATGACTCAATCATACATACTATAGTTTCTATATTGACTGAACATGAACATTCAAAATTCAAAAGTGGAATAATTCTAAAGCATTTGGATAAAAAAGTTAAAATCACAATATCAGTTTAAAATTAATTTCAAACCAACTACTCAATATTAATGTTGGAGTTATAACAAGCTACATATAATATTTTTGTTTTATTTGCAGTCCTCCTGGAGTTTAGGAAGTCTATGATGAAGATTTTTTTGCTCTGAGGCACTTCTTTTTTAAATAATTACCTAATTTTATAAAAACAACTGCTTTATGTTGTTTCAAAAGTTAAGATAAGATGATGTTCTGGTATTAATTTGCTGGCCACATCTATAGGTCATTGGAAATAATGCTGAAGAATAATAGTTACTAGAAAAACAATAACTACTTTTTTTCATGCTGATTTAAAAGAACAGAGTCTTCTGACACTGAGAAGTTCAACAAATTTATTACAATCTAAAAAAAATATTATTACATCCAAGAAATGTAGATCATAATAAATTTGTGAGTATTTAACAAATATCATACCGTAAGACTGACTGGATCCCAGTATAGTATGCTTTATTTAATTCTTGAACAATAGTCAACAATCAGTCAACAATATAATTGACTGGATTCACATAAAGATATAAATTATGGCTTACAAATCACAATGGTTGGCTAAACCAAAATCAAACCACTTTATAGCTTAAGGCATGTGTAAATCAAATCCTTATGTTACTTTTGCTCCCAGAAACACATTACTACCTATCTGGTTGGATTAAAGCTGAGTGGCTATTAACCTCTTAATACTGACTTTTTTTATCACTGGAAGTTGAAATAATTACCAAGACATTGTAATTACACATAAAATTTATTCTCTGGTCAGGCTCTTCTCTGATTTTCCTTTACTAATTTTTTTATTGCTCTTGCTGTCCATTTTCTTGTTTGTCCCTCTATTCTGTACAGCAGAGAAAGAAAATGGGCCTTGCAAAACAAAATGTATCTACAGAGTTCTGATACCAAAAGTTAAGAAAATAAGTCAACATAATGCTGGTGGATTGGCAAGATTAGGAGAAAGGATAGCTCACCGAAGCCTGTCTGTGTGTATTGGACAGGATTCCATGGATTTTGACTTGGCTCCTGTTGGCTTCAGCTACCTCGACCCAAAGTTCCTTGGCTCGCATCTCTTGGGGACCATAAATTCGGGATAAATAGTAGCTGTGATTGTCTTCCTGTGCAGAGGTAAAGAGATGGGATTATTTTAAAGCAGCTTTCCCTCAACCAGGGCTACCTGAATACACTGGATTCCACTTCTACAATCTCTGAACAGTATGACTACAATAAAAGGATAAAATGTAGTTAATGTCCTGCTACTTCATATTTTTCCCTAAAAGGATTATCAGTTAAATATTTTATGTATCAAGGAGAAGTGATATTTTTCAAGCAAAAAGTCAACTTCCTGTTTTTAACAAACTACTACTAATATTATTTTTAAAAACAGATTCCTTTTTATAAAAGGAAATAGGAATGCCTCTTTTAAAATAAGTTGTCCCCCAGAGCTTTTATAAACATAATTTTAACAATTATTTTGTTGCAAAACAATTGCCCGGTATATTATTACATTTAATTCAAAAAAATTTATTGAATCATTCAATTGTGTATTATCATCATCACCATTATTATGTATCTAAAAAGTCTAATGGAGCTATTCACTAGATAGTGAAACCATAGAATAAGTTCCCAGTTTTTAAACCAGCTTCAGAATGAAAGGTTTTGTAGTCAATACTTTTGGAGGCCACAGATTGAGGAAGTCTGACCTAGAGCTATCATTGGTAGTCCACTCCAAACTAAATGCTCAAGGACAAAAATAATAGTGAGAGAACAAATCAAAAATAGCTTTAATTTGGGTAATCTAGTCATGTCTCCCAAAGAGATTTCTTTTTTTAAAAAATGTTTAGAGATATGGAACAGGACAGCAGTTCTATTTATAAAGTAATATTTAATGTGGAAGAAGCTTCCCTTTCTTGTTTTAGCAAATCTTTGTTCATTGAAGGAAAGGCAAATGAAAGTCAGGGAGTGGGGGGTGGGAAGCTGTCTAACCAAAACAAGAAAAATTCTGTTGTATTTGGCATTTGTCTTTATCTTCCTACATATTTTAATTAATTCCTATATCAAGGAGAACTGTGAACAAACAAATAATTTTATTAAATGCATTTTCTATGTGAGTTATCCTTTATAACAGAGGTGGGGAACTACGACCCCTTTATGACTTGTGGACTTCAACTTCCGGAATTCCTGAATGAGCATGGCTGGCTCTTCCAAAATGCACTGAATCTGGCATCCTTCCTTACTATAAATAATTGCTGAGGTTGCTAGGCATTGTAGTTCAGCAATAACTGAAGAACTGCAAGTTCACTTCTCCACCCCCTTTAACCTTTATATACATTAATAACATAAAATGGCTATGCCACTTGGTTTAGTAGGATCATTTTGTTCTGCTGCTTCTGCTTCCAATAGCAGTGAATCTCCTGCCACAGAAAAATTAGCATTCAAGATAAGAATTTGTTGAACTTTTTCTCATATAATGTAAGACATCTCTAAATATAGATATGGTAATTCGGGTAGTTATAGTATTCCTTAGTACATCTCTCCTCAAGATTTTTAATTCATTGTTTGCTAAAGATTCTTTATTCTTGTACTGCTGTATAACAACTTTTTGTTTAAAGAGTTCCATAAGTTAACCCTGCAAATATATGCTTGGACTTTCAAATTGCCCATTTTTTGTGCAGGGATTTTGTCTACATAAACACTGTCCTAATCCTTATTGACTCCATGGTGCAGAAGGTTCTGGCTCCAGTTAAATAATCTTGTAGTCAAATTTTATTCTGGAATGGCACCAATAAAATCATGTGGATTTCATAGCAGTGTTCTAATGGCAGAATTTCATCTTCATAAAGAACAGCAAGATTTGGCTGTTATTCTTAGCAAGATATTGGCCAGGGTTTGAACTTAATTGAGAGTTTGTCCTGGTGGCCCTTCAAGACAAGAGTGCTAACATGGAGATCTGGGCTCATTCTCTCCCATTTTTAATTAAACAAGGTCTGGAAGACAAATTGTTAAAGAAAACCAGTCAGAGAATAATTGCTTTTCTGCTACATGTAAGTTCATAGAACCTAACCACTACAAAAATGTGTTGATGTAGAAAACCTTTGCCTTAATCCTTCAACTGCATGATCTTTTAGATGTTTTCCAAAACAAATATTTTTATGTCAAAAACTGAGCCACAACTGACCAACCTCATTTTAGCCTGATATGATGTACCAATTCAGTCATTATGGTATAGCATGTGAGTGTTTTTGGGTTAACTGAGTAAATAAAGTTGTTAAGCAAGGTAATATGAGAATATGACCCACACTGGATTTTTACCGCTCTCTGATTTTTAAAGGTTTTTAAACAACTGCGTAATATTCCTGATTAATTCATATGCAGTAATGATGGGAACATGAGTAGAATTTCAACTTTTCCATTTCTTTCCAGATACCTCAATCCTTGGGTTATCAGCTGGTTTTCGTTAGTAAATGTTGCAATGATCACACTCTTCCTAGGAAATTCTACTTCCCAGAGCTATTAAGCTAATTCCTCTCCAGACCTTAGTTTCTTTCAGCCAACCCTGCAGAAATTAATTGGCAATTATTCTGGATTTATGCATTAATCTTAGGCATGGTTTGTTCAATCATATTTCATTGAATAAACTGCAATTGGTTGCACTCACACAACACATTCAAGATTATATCAAGCAAAATCAAGGTTATAGCAAATCAGACTATTAAAAGATAGATGGAAAGGAAGCAAGTACCGTAGCCCATAGGGTGGAACAGAAAAAAAAAAGTGCAAAAGGATTTTAACTTTATTTATTTATTATTACACAACTTTCACACACATGGTTAATTCTTAAAATTAGAGCAGTTGCTGCAGTTCTTTTGGTAATAGTTTCCTACTTGCTTGAACTAATGTTCCTTCTCTGAATGCCTTCTTGAATTTCTTGTGAGCATGCTTAAGGAGTTCATTCCAGTTTGTGGAGAGAAGCCTGATGCTATCAGACCATACATCTTTTATCCCACTGCTTTGGGTACTGGCCCTCTGTCATCTGGCATAAAATGTGTTCTGCAGCATCCATTGGCAATCTTTTTATTATTATTCCTTTATTAGCAGTTCACCTATTCAGAGATGATTCTCAAATATGAACTGGAACACGGTAGCATAAATGAAGCCCAAGGTTATGTCAGGACTATATTTTCATCTTCAAAATCTCTTTTGAGAGAAGCTCTTCAGAACTAGCAGCATTTGTGATGTGAACCATCAAAAGTGTATTTGTTCCACAGTTGTCACCCATGCTGGTCTACTTTCTCATTTCAGGATTCACATGTTAAGGAGCTTCCAAATGTGTTCTCAATAAAGTGAGGGAAAACAAATGAAAAGAGCAAATGCCGGGACTGGGTGGACTTGGCTGCTTCTACATCTCGGATTGTGCTCCATCATGACCTCATTACTGGATCTTTATTATGTCCCAATCCACCACCTTTATTTAGTTACAGCAAAGAGAACAGAAACAAAACAAGCTGAGGGGAGGGAGAAGGAAGGAAATCTGAGTAAGGTTTTGTAATCTAATTGTTTTGCTAAATATTTTGGCTACCTTTTTTACAGAGGTATACCTAACTAGAATCCTCTAGAAAAGGGTAGGAGATAGAGGTGCCAGATAGACTTAGCTTTGATAAGAAGGAGGGGAAATGCTTGAGGCCCCACTCAAAATATAGTTCAGTATTTGAAAGGATCTATGTATGATGTAAGTTGGGCTAAGATCATTAATTAATTAATTAATTAGTCATTCATTTAGTATTAATTCATTTAGTTCATATGGCTGCTAAATCATCAAGAGACTTTGCAGGTAAGAGATTCTGAAACAAAATATCACAGTATGTAAATTGATAAAATATATAATGTGTCAGGAACAAACCACAAATTACCTATATTTATAGTGGGTTGATCAAACATCTTTGCTCAATACCTGGGGGAAGAACTTAGCCCTCAGAACTTTCTTAAAGGCTGGTAGGTCAGGGCCAGCTGAATCTCAGGGGTTTGAGGGAAATGTTTCATAGAATAGATACTGGAAAAGAGAAGACATATCTCTTGGATCCCATCTGATGATCCTGTTGAATTGATGAGATGTGGAGTAGGCCAACCACATATCTGCTTCATGTTTGCATAACCAAACTGGCCAAGTCAGTTGCTCAATTCACCCTTATGGAGCAATATACAACCATGGTTGATTCAAATAAAAAAAAATCTTCCTAGCTATTGAAAAAGAAACTGGGAAACTGTCACAACATTAGATTTTTGTGAATAAAAATAGATGATCAAGTTCCAGTTCAGGTAAAGTTGGGGAATGTATTGACTCTCATACTATCCTGCCCTTTACCAACCTGTCTACCCACCCCAGAAATGGGGATGAAAATGGAGGCAGAAAGAGTATTTGGTGAAACTTGGTTTTTGCAGTACTTCTGTCACATCTCTGTTTTAGGGGGAAAAATCATTGCTTTATTAATCTCAATTTGTCCACAGGATCAGGAGGAGTTAGATTTGCTCTAAAATGTGAGGGCATTTGGGACTGAAACTGACCTTGGTATTTTCACAATATAATACCTCTCTCCTTGATGTAGCCATGAGATTAATGGGACTGTTGGATTCTATGATTAACTACCATTTACATATGTTGTCATAAACCTGAATATATTACTTGCAGTGGGATTTTGTCAATAGGAATGTATCTATGCCTTCATATGCCCCCCAAATGTCTATTGATTTTCTATTATAGTAAACAAATAACCACACAAAAACAATATACTCAACAGACATATAAAGAAAAATGTTATCTTAAAAGAAAAAAGGAAAGAAAAAGTGTTAATTCACTTTAAATAGCAGTTGGCATTGAATAAAATTAGTTATATAGAATTTGGTTAATTTCTGAAAAATAGCTGGATATTGAACTAAATTAAAATATTTTTAGCTTCTCTGACATTTTTTTTCTTTGTTAAAATAGCCAGCAGCTAGATGAGATGACTATCCCGGCTCAGCAGTTGGACAGGAATATGTGAACCACTTTTTTTCTATTTCATTAGTTTGCAAAACCAGGTGCACTGAGAGAAAAATATGTTACTTTGTCAAGTAACATACT